TTGTCCCAGTGGGCCTGCAGAATAGAGGTGTAGGAGAGTAGCAACAGTAGCAACAGTGACTGAACCAAGAAGTCTGCTTTAATTTCCTGGAACAACTGCATGAATAAGGACGACTGAGGAAATTACTGTTCAAGAAACCAAAGCCACCCTGCCCTCCCCTTCTTTGTGCTTGTTCTGTCTCCTCCTCTAATCCATGAGTTGCAGAAGCAATCACATCTGATGGCTTCTTCCTCAAGGAAAACATTGGACAGGCTGGAAGAGGAGAGAGAAGAGCATGTCCTGACCTTGCTATTCCCACAGGGGTCCATGTGAGCGGACTGCGGAGCAGTTCCCAGTTACTGGGGCTACCCCGACCATCCAGCAATAGAAATAAAACCTTGAAACTTCAGTTCTTTGCATCGCTGGGCCAAGACGTTCCTTGAGTAGGATTCTGTGCACACACTGCTAGTTACAAGACGTTACGATCATCTGAAGGGGGGCGTTGCAAATACGGCTTCCACGAGCTGCCAGGCAGTGGCCTCCTAAACCGGCGGACGCTCCTCGAAACGCTTATCAAGTTGTTTCACTGGACAGGTGCTGGGTAAATGCTTGTTGAGAAAATCAAAAATAAATAAACGCGTTCGACTCGCCGCGGCAAGAATGATTTATTTGTAAAATACGTGTCGGTGTGATCACAACCGTTCCCGAGGTTCACAGCCGGAGAAGGGGCTCAAGGAGCATCCCGCGGATGCCAGACCAGGCTCATGTCGCGCCTGCCGGACGGCTAGTGCAGGGCCGGGCCGAGGTCGCCTCCGCCGCTCCTCCTCGCGGTAGCTCACCGGCCGCCGCTCCCGGCCAGAGCCACCCTCCCAGCTGTCTCTGAGGGCGCCGCTGTACCGGAGCTTTAGTCGTTGACACAGGCCGTGGTAGCTACCTCCGGGCGGCCGCCCTGCGCGGTGACTGCGCCGGCGAAGACGGCGAGATTGCAAACGGGGGCGGGTCACGCGGACTGTGACCCTCGGGAACCGCGGCAACGCCTACCGTTGGTAGAAAGGGACCGCTATTTCCAATGTCAGCCAACTCCGGCTGTTACCTGTTTTCATTAGTAAACAAACTGTAAAACAAATGTACAG